CAGATTATTGACCTTGTTTGAATAAGCTCCAAAACCAAATAACTATCTCTTAAGCTGAGGGTTTTATTAACCGTTGCCGTGCCTCTCGTAGCCACTCGTGCTCAACCATACTCCTGCACAAACTATTCCAGTTGTTTATGGTTCAATCCATGCTAACAACACAAGATTCTGCTATGATTTGGCACGTACCTCAAAATTGGCACACTATGAATGCGATTGAGACGTCATGGACAAAGTGATGTACAGTATGTGGACACATGATGTACAATACAGCTCCATATTTTTTATCTTCATCTTGAATAAAATAAATGAAATTTGGAAGTAAAAGTTTGAAGTTGTGGTTTGTTGTGCATGTGCTTGTCCAGGATGCAAAGATCAGCTCAATGGAGCGCGGCCTGAGGGAGCTGGAGGAGGAGGTGAATATGTTGAAGTCAAACGGAGCTCTGAGCAGCGAGGAGCGTGAGGAGGAGATCAAACAAATGGAGGTGTATCGCTCCCACACCAAGTTCATGAAGAACAAAGTGAGCCTTGCATTGCACATACATACTACCTACATCTTCTTATGTCTTCTACATCTATCTACTAGATGCAATGAAAGAGACAAAAGCACAGTTTACAATAATTCCAAATGCAACCTCAAAGTCATTTCATTAACTTGTGGTGATATGATTTTGAGCCTGGAAGAGCCGTTGTGTTTTTTCATGCCTCTGATTGTTAGCAGCTGTAGAAGCTAATGTTGCGGGTCCTTACCCTAAACCCCTCCTCAGGTTGAGCAGCTGAAGCAGGAGCTGAGTCAGAGCCGCTCACAGACGGACGAGCTGCAGCAGCGGGTGTGCGAGCTGCAGAGCAAAGACTCAGTAAGACACAGCTCTCTGGGCCTCTGCTGTGCACTTCCTCTACTCTGGGGGGCTCTGCTGGGCACCTCCGCTCCTCTCTGCTCTCTGCTGTGTGGGACCTGTTCAGATAGCATTAAACGACTGCTGATTAATGTTTTCGTTTATCTCTATACACATTGAATGTTTATGTTTACATGCTGTAATTATCAGCATGCGCAGTAAACCTGGGGGCCAAAAGCTGTACCATAATGGTTTTTCAGATACCTTAACACAAACTCTCTACAAGCAATGCTATGCCTCGAGCTGGAAGGGCGCAGTGCTTCTGCCCTCCAGGCTTAAAAGCGAGTTCATTGTCACAGGCCCGTGACATCACTCATCAACGGGTCTGTTTGCTAAAATGCATAAATAACTCACACAGACCAGATTACTGTGCTGTGAAGTTTGATTTGCCTGATTTAGTTTCACCTATGCTAAGCGATACAAGCGTGCTGACTATAGCGTGCCAATTAAGACGAGGGCTTCGAAAGGATTCAGAATAAAACTTTTTAATGTGACTATTTATTATTATGTGTTTATTTGATAGGGACAGAACAAGAAGCATTATTACAGGAACCGATGCTGTGTTCATAGGCCTTATAGCTTACAGCTACTTTGCAGACCTGGTCCCTAAGACATAGAAATACATCACATTTACATTATACATTTATCATTATATTAAGAAATAAGTAAATAAATAATACTAAATAACAAACAAAAAAATAACCACACAGATTACATAGTACAGAAAATTTACAATAGATGATTAGAGTGGTTCCTTTTGAGCCATTGTTTGACTAATTTTAAACTCCTTCAAGTCTAGAGCTTTCAGTTCTGCAGGTAACGTGTTCCAAAGCTGTGGCTCTTTTTACTAATATATAACTATGAGTCTTTTGCAAACTACAAAATACCCAGTCTTTAGATAGTGAAAGTTCATCGTACAGTAGCCAAATTGCTCTTCAAATTTCGTGGTTGAACATACATTAGGAACGGAGCCACAGCCCGTGAACCCTCTCTCCCCAAAGCCATTTTTAAAAGACTGTTGATTATTCAAGACGAATTTGCCATGAATACCTTTTTAGAATGCAGAGCTGAAGAAGTGAGAAAATGATGGAACCTCACTGTTGCAGAAAGCACATGGACAGATAAGATTACTGACTTTGGAACTGGGAGAACTGTGAAGGCTCCAAGGTCTGTCCTACCCAGACCTGAGTATCTCTGCAGAAGCCGTACTAGGCAGCAGTACGCTTACAATCTTCTTTGTCAGCCCTGGATCATTGGAAAGAAGTGATTTTATGCAAAGAATGATAGAAAAAGAAAAGCTGCTCACATATCGTACATCATTATCCAAAAGATCCATTGAATGACAAACAATAATACCATCAAGTCAGTTGACGCTAATGCACCTGTTTCATATTCATAATAATGTTGTTTGTAGCTGTCTGAACTTCTGTACACATGACTATAACCTGCCTTTTTCACCTTGCATGCTTTGGTCCGGGCTTGGGTTTTGGAGGAAGTGACTGTTGAATTGTGCATCCACTTCTCACCCGCTTGTTTATTGTGATAATAGCACTATGAAACTTTATCTGGTGGGTTTGGAATTTCATGGTCTCAGAATATCCTAAACCTTTTCAATTATGAACAGCCTTGCAAAAGTGCCATTACAACTGGAACTTTCGCACATTTTGTATATTTTAATACTTTATTTTTTTTGAAAGACCACAACCAAGCAGCAGACATCTGTAAAGTGAAAGCAAAATAATTGTTTTATTTGCACAACAAAATAAAGAAGTAGCCCATGCAAACTTGTCTATTCAACCTAAGTCACCTGAATCGGTCAATAAAATGTTTTTTATACTAATTATACTACACAAAGTCCAAATTCATTCCAGCATGCAGGCATACACATGCACACATATACATACACACATGCATGCACACGCACTATCACACAAAATTGGTAAAATGGGTAAACGATAATATATAGATGTATATAATAGTAATTTGTTGGGACAATAAATAGTGATGGACAATGAAAAACCTCACCTTCCCTTTAAGAAATTATTGGTGATAAGTAGTCAGCTGTTACCCAATTTTTTTTTAAAAGAAATAACAAAATTATGCTCCCATACAACTTTCTCATGGTCTTTCCAAAAAGATAAAATGTTTTTGATTAAAGTTGTAAACTTGCAAAATGAAAGCTCTTTTGAAAGCTGCTGTATCGCCTTCTGCTTGGTGATACCTGATATGCTTAACTCCCGATAAGTTGCATAGAGCACTTTTATACAAGGAACAAAATGAATTCAGGCTTTGCAAGTTGTGGGTATGGTGGTTTTCTCAGAAGTCAGATATAACTCCTTATCAATTGATTTTAGCATCATAAATCTAAACTAAAGTAACCCTCCATCTTAAATCCCTCAGAGAAATGATGCTTGTTTGTGTGTGGTGTGGGGTTCAGGTGGAGCAGGCCAAGCAGGACTTGAATCGAAAGGACAGTGAGCTGCTGGGGCTGAGGACCAAGTTGGAAACGCTGAACAACCAGTTCTCTGACAGTAAACAGCACGTAGACGTTCTGAAGGAGTCTCTCACGGCCAAGGAACAGAGAGCAGCTATTCTACAGACCGAGGTATGGAACTTCCAAGAGCTGATCTGATCTGTTCAACATCCATCCATCCATCCTCGCTTGATCCTGCTCCACAAATGGACACTTCCTCCAGACCTCCAGGATAATATCATAGTGTTATTAGGGATGCACGGAGAGGATTGGTTAGGGCTATGCTAAAAATACATGTACAGGGCTTAAAGTTTTCCGGCACCGTGCCGGAAATCCGGCGTGAGGAAAAAAAAAAAAAAAAAACATCACATTTTTTTTTTTTTTTTTTTTTTTTAATATATATATAAATTAATAATGATTGTTGTCATTTGAAAAAGGTTCAAGTGTGTTCTACCAATTGTATGAAAGGATTGCATGTGTATAGCGCAGGGATTAAAGAGTTCCGTCTAAGTGACGGATTTCCGTCAAATGAAATTGGTCTGAAAAAAAAAACAAAATATATAATAATAATATAATACACACAATGAAATGGTTAATTATAACAAAATATATAGTAATACGTGTGAATCTGTTGTATATATCTAGATATATATTAATAATTTGAATATAATTGTATTTATATGTATATAGAAATAAAAAGTAATATAATCACGAGTGGGCCTTGAACGTGCCGTGGCTAGCTACATGAGCGCTCCGTAAATGATTCAAGGCAATGGGACGTAGCCAAGTTAGCATTGGTAACACGGAGGTGAAAGTTTCTGAAAAGTGCACGGAGCTTTTGAAAAGGAGAAGAGGACAAGGAAAATGTAATCCCGAACGGAGCAATAACAGCCAGCAGCCCGCGGACCGGTAAACTGGGCGCGTTATCAGAGGAAAGGTAGGACATAATTAACGTTTACCAAACGCAATGCTTTTTTATTTAACGGAATGTACAATATGTACTTTGCTGTGACTGGGAATGGGGACAAGCATGTCTTGGTGAGCTTTTGATAATATCTTGGTGGCGATCCCCATGCAAAACTGCGTGATAAAAAGAGCCAATCAACGAGAGCGAACGGAAGAAACTCGCTGAAGAAAGGTGTGTGTTAGCAGGTCTTATATTCATTCATCAAAGCTAGCCTAGCATGCACGCACAATCACAATCATGGATCGTTGTTTATGGAAGAAGGAGCTGTATAAGTTGCTGTTGATAACAGTGAAAAATAAATGGAGGTGGGCATGGCTGGATGAGGTGGAGACGATGGGATTCTGTTGCTTCCTGGTGCAAAAAGATGAAGGTGTCCGGTGCTTGTTCGTACTTCGCTATTATTATTTTTTTATATGGGAGTAATGAGAAAACAGCTTTGGATTCACCACCAGCTCAAAACTGCGCACTTGGCAGCTGTCCGTGCACTTTCCCACACTTCTTTACCTGGTGCATCAGATTCAGCGACAACTGAGACTAGGCTTGCTCTGGTGGACTGTGTCTGTGACCTAAAACTAAGAGTCTGTGGCTTTATCGCAGAAAATAACCTGTCGTTCAGAACCATCACTACCGCTGGTAGATTTAATTATCATTAATCATTTGCAGTTGATAAAACTGCGCTGTGCACTAGCACCAAGTTGATAGGGAAACCTTTTTCTTAAACATTGAGTGTCCACAAACAAATGTGGACAGAATTTTGAATGTCCTTTTGCGATATTTTGACGAGGACAGAGCCAAAGGACAACGCCTCATCTCGCCTCAAGTAAAGCCAATGATGCAGATGAACTACTCTCACTAATATTCTGTCAAAGAGTTGACAAGTTGCTTGATCCACTGGTTGTAATTTCACATCAAAATACACCAGTTTAAATGTATATCTTTGAAGAATTCGTTTGATCTGTAATTCATTATATTTCCATGAGAAAATTTTCAGTCAAATCTTTTTTTTTTGCTTTAACCCCTGGCCGCTTATAAAAAACGCTTATTAGTGATCATTCTATGATTCATATAGATGGTTCAGGCTCAAGAATTTTTTCAACTTTAACCCATGCATGTATTGACAGATCGCAATCTCAACTTGCATTTATCAATACCTGAAGTAAAAGACTGCAATTATGTGATAGGGACAGCAAGGGTTGTCAATAGTATCGAAACAAAGAATCATGACATACTGTAAAGACCAATTTGAATGTTTGAAATTTCTTGAGCTATTTGAAACCATACCAGACACCTCATAAAATCATAATTTTGAGTTAAAAGACTTTACAAAAGTTAATTTATAAATAATGTCCATGGTATAAAAATTGGCATTGACAGTTTTATTTTGTCTCTATATAGAGTTTGAAATCTAGAATAGTGGTATCACTAGCAACCGCAGATGGGGCTCAAGCCAAATTAAACTAATGTGTTTAAGATTTAATGGAGACACACTGTGCACTCACAGATCATATTCATGGCAATATTCAGTTTTCCTTCATGAAAGCTGTGAGGAGGGCACACTGCTCTACCTCTTGTGGTAAATGCATGGGAAGCCCTGTCCGAGTGCGGGCCGCAGTTCGTTCCTTTCTTTACTGATGTTTACTCCCTGAATCAATCTGAAAACAAAAAGGAAATCACAGTACTTTAGATTCTTGCTATTATGATTTTTTATTTTTTTATTTTTATAGGAATTTGTAAAAAGGTATAGAACTTGTTGTAGAATCATAAACATGTACTTATATATTGACCATGACAAAACAAGTAAAAGATATACTATGACCACACCCGCAAACAACCCAGTATCCCACTATTGAAAATAACAAATGTAAAAAACTTTCACTTCTAAGTTTAAATAAATGGGCCTCAAAAATCATTTAACAAAATCTTAATATTTTTTTAATTTAATCATAGCTCAAGATTTCTTGTCTATGAGCGGCGCCACCCATATTCCCTAAAATTGTGAACATTTTTTATTAACCAAAGTACTTACTTGTCACTTGCACACACAAGTCAGAGGTTAAACTCACTGCTCAAAACTGCCGCCTACTGAGTAAATGAAATTTTATCAAAATTTGCCACTACTTATGTCCAATCAATGATACAAGTTCAAATCAAATTTCAATCCTTTGTACACATTCAGTTTAAAAAAATAAAAATAGAATCCCTTGACTGCACAGCTAAACAGAACTGTTTTAACCTAGATTTTAACATTGTCAGAGAAGAAGCTCGTCTCAAATTTTTGGAAGATTTTATCTGTAGTTTATGGTTGTGTGTAACGTGCTGGGCAGGTGGATGCACTGCGCCTGCGTCTGGAGGAGAAAGAGTCCCTTCTGTCCAGAAAGACGCAGCAGATCTCCGAGCTTACAGATGAGAAGAGCACTCAGGCAGGAGAGATCAGTGACCTCAAGGACATGCTGGACGTCAAGGAGCGCAAAGTGTCTGTGCTGCAGAAGAAGGTCAGTGTGTCCGACTGCTGATGCTCTGAGGAGGGGGCTGGGTACCTCACTTTTATATCTCCTAAATTATATATATTATTATTGTTTGTTCAATAAGTAAAAATGGTAAATACATCTGGCCACAGCATGTTCTCATCTTCTAAATCTAATCATCTTCTTAGAAAACATAAATTATGAGAAATCCCTGTGTGTCACTATTTAAACCTTTCCACCAATCTGGTGCTGGTGGCGGTTCTGGGCCGGTCAATAGGAACCTTAGCACTTGTCCATCAGCACTTCCCTATTGGGTTTTAGTGCTGGGGGTTAGTATTGTCTGTCTATATACAGTCTTTGGCTAGAACCTGGTGCTGAAAACGTATTAGTGCCAACTGCTCCACCTGGCTCTTGTGGAAAAGCGAAAGGAAACTGCCCAGAACCAGCACCCCACAGACACCTATCCAGCCCTGAACTGGCATGGAACCAGAACCTTGGTGGAAAAGTGGGATTGGATGCTTTGGGAGAGAGCTGAGTGAAGTAGTCCTCTCCTTATTACTTTTCTGTCAGACAAAGCTTTGGTTAAAATGCATACATGCTAAAACAAATTGTGAAAACAGATTGTCAATGATCATACATGGATTTTTAGGTTTTAAAAAAAATATATATATATATTTTTTTACTTTTTTACAATATTCTTCCCCATCAAATTCTTTAAAAAACATGATTTACGCTTTTGCCAGAACTATATAGTTTTCTGTCCAGTCACTGTCCACACTGAAATTAGTGTTTGCACACCCAACTCTAACAGAAGTCGGAAATACATATTTGGGACATTGAAAAATAGATTTTATTTTTATAAATAAATAATTATCTGAAATCTGTTTACACTATTTGTAATTCATTTTGTACTTACTTTTATTGATGATTTACATTTACAGCTATACCTGAACTTCAACAAAAAGTCATCCCTGATGACGTAATGAAACTATTTATGCATACATTGCAGACACAAAACATCCATACGCTGCTTTTTTTGTGCTGATTTATCTCATTTACGGTAAAAATTACCTCAAACCACATTTGTTACCATTACTAGGCTAATCTAAAAACTTACTTATTACAATACAATACAATACAAATTATTGTATTGTATTGTATAGCCCTAAATCCCAACAGAAGTAATCTCAGAGGACTTAACAAAACCATTGAAATCACCAACACAGATCAGAGAATCAACAGTTAAAACACAAAAAGAATATAGAACACATGTTGAAAAAAAAGTGTTTTTCCATACATGTAGTAGAATGTTAGAATGTCCTGGATCATCACCACATCCTTTTTGTTGGACACTAACTGTCCAACAGACCCTCCTGCATCGGCAAGGGAAAACTCATAAGTTAATACAAGGAGGCTCAGGGATCAACCTTTTTTTTTTTTTACAATTTATAGAGAGTTCCATACAGTCAACTATTTGACTCAGAGCTCAGTTTAGAGATTATTCACAGATTGTAAACAGGGATAAAGAAGCTCTAAGTGGTTGTGGTCTCGATGCAAGACCTCTGCTCTCATGTGTTGGATCATGAACTGCTCATGATAATCTTTGGATTGTGACGTACACACCAAGGCCACTAGATGGAGATGTCGGGCCATGCTTTATGCCAACATAATACATACACGTGACACCCTGAAAAGGTACTTCTGTAATTCAACAATGTGAAATTAATATATGAAAGACAGATTACATGCAAAGTGAGACATATCAAGCCTTTTTTTATGTTGATACCTGGCTCACAGCTGGTTTAAAACATGTAAAAAAAGATGTATATATTTTGAAAATGAACTGCTGAACACTTCATTTTGCATGTAATGTAATGCTTCAAATTTTCTGAGTTGTATGATAAAGAAACTTATAGATTTGAATATATCTTGTATATTTATATTAAATGGAAAAGGCAACTTTAGTCTTTCAAGGGCAGTTTCATTTCTGCTTAATCCCATTGGCAAATCTTGTTTAAAGACAATACAAAGATAGTTTTTCGATTTAGTAAGTCTGGTAATTCATGTCTGCCAAATGGAAAATATTAAAATGAGCATTTTGGACAGAAATAATTTGCAATATTGTACACTGAAATTAATCCAATAATTCAAAGTTTCAAAATCAATACACGTATTAGATTATTGCTAAAGTAATTAAAAGGGATAAATCTTATCAATAGTAATGATACAAACACAAATATCCTGTACTGTAAATAGTCTGCAGCACATAATTCCTTTGATGAAATCGTCTTGTAAACCGAATAATTTGCAAAACCATTCTTACACCATTTGTTTGCATAGAATGAAAGCGTATTCAGGGCCAAAAAAAAAGAGTTAAAAGTAAGATATCTTTCTGATGCTTCAGATTCAAATCCTCAAGGTGAATGTGGAGTGGTGTCCCTTGTCTTCTTCAAATCCTGATTGTGAAGTGTCGACTGGGCACATGCTGAAGGGACACACAGGACGGATGTGCTTTTTGAAATGTGTAGATACTAATGAGCTGTTCAATAAATGATGCCCTCTGCAGCCTCCGATATGAACAGTCAGTCTTTAAATGACTATTTTAGGGGTCAGGGAGGCGGGGTTTAGGCACACTATGGTGAAGAGGTTGTTTTTATATGAAATCACAATATTCCAATCAACATTGTAATTGTTTACCATTATAACCTCACTATCAAAAACTGTGGGGAACTTTAGGTGTTGAACAAATTCTCAGCCAAAATTCTTAGTTTCCTCATACCCTTGGGCTGATGGTAGGGCTGCACGCCTTATTAGTGCACATTTCAGGGTTTTTACGATACTTCAAAATGGAATGATGAGTCTTTATTATATTTACTTTGATGTTGTCAGTCTCTTTACTTAAATTGAAACAAATTAGGTTAAAAAAAAAATCACATTTAATGTGATCAATCCCAGACTACTGAAATATTCATTATTGTCTCATAAGTCGTCTCCACTAAATTAACAGTGAAAAAAAATTCATGTTTAAATATTGATGATGTTTTTCCGGCTGCTTCTAGCTGCTTTTAATCCTTCTCAGTCCATTTGAATCACATGCATCATTATGATTCCAGTACAAACTTTATATAAACTGAAGTGAATCTAGAAAAGCATTTAGGAGGCAGGTGCGCACGTATTTAAGTCACCAGATTGACTTTAATATATATGCCTCCACTGCTCCACTTCTTTTGTTGGACAGATGTTTATGAGGGCAATCATGTAAGTAAGATATTCCTTTAGAAATCCCTTCACCCAGACAGCTTTTGAATCACCTCCAAGATGTAGTCACGTGTTCATTGTGACATTAGAGATTTCAATGGAAAAAATGTCCAATAAAGTTTTGGCCTGTTCTAATTCTCCTGGTCTTGCGTAGCAGGTGACTTTGGACGCTCGAGCATAGACCGATGAGCCTTCAGACCAATCGGCGCTGTAAGCTTTACATGTACAGTAGGTTCTCTGTCAGCTGAGGATGAGCCGTTTTAATTTACATTGATTACATTGAACGTGTTTCTATTATTAAGCTGCATAAGATCAAAATACTGTTTCCAAATATAACATTTATCGTATCACACTCACCATTTCAAATCACCTTGGATGAAAACGTTCATCAGTTGAAAACGATGGCATAAACACGCATTTGTTTCCCATCTTTTTGTATCATGGGCAATTTAAAAAGGAAAATCGAGCAGGACTGAGCGGGCAAAGCAGCGCCTTGTCTGTCGGCGCAGGCGAGTGTGCGGTGTGATCAAAGCGGCTCTACTTTCCGTGCGGAGAGATAGACGCAGACAGAGAGGGCAAACTGCCAATCCAGCTGTCGGGAGAGCGTGTGATTAACGAGCCCATGGAAATACTGGAGTGGAGCAAGGCACGCCGCTGCTGCACTGGGAGATACTGCGTGTTCATGGGAGGACAGAACAGTTTGGGTCTGTCTACTGATCAAAAGTAGTAGTAATTCTGTTCAAACATCTGCAAAAACAAACAAGATACATAATAAACAAAAGTAAATTAACACAACACATCACACACACATTAATTTCTGAGTAGGTTCAGATCAAATTCAGATTTTTTTTTTCCTAATGTTTGGTGCTTTCACATCTTAACAAATGCAGTATTTGTTAAGTGTGAACCCATCCACTCATGACTTTCTACAATAACTTTCTGATAGTAGAAGTGTGTCTAACTAGATCGTCTACACATGATTTTGCAGATCGAGAACCTGCTGGACCAGCTGAAGGACAAAGACAAGCAGCTGAGTGGTCTGAAGGACAGACTCAAGTCTCTGCAGACCGACACCACCAACACAGACACTGCTCTAGGCACGCTGGAGGAGGCGCTGGCAGAGAAGGTACTACTACTACTACTGTTAGTGCCCAGAGTCAGAACTAAACATGGGGAGGCTGCTTTTCAGATTCATGCTGCTAAAATCTGGAACAATCTTCCTGAAGATGTGAGACAGGCCTCCTCTCTGACAATGTTTAAAACCAGGTTAAAAACGGTGCTGTTTAGCTGTGCATACAACTGAGGGATTTTATATTTTTATCTTTCGTTTTAATGTTCTGTAATTATTTATGATTTTAATGCTATCTTGTTCAGCACTTTGAGTTGCCTTGTGTATGAATTGTGCTATACAAATAAACTTGCCTTGCCTTGCCTTGCCTACTCTGCACTGACACTACACATTCACTATTGCACTACTGGCACCGTGGTGATAAACTTCTACGGTCGCCACAGCTGCCCTGGGGCACACTGACAGAAGTGAGGTAACCATTATGTGCCATCTGCCCCTGTAACCACCACCAACAATTCACTAACACGCCAGACTTACTGTAGGCAATGGGATTGAGGTTTCTTGCCAAAGGACACAACAACAGCCGCAGCTGCCCCACTGTGGCACCTGGTGTTCCTGGAGGTCTCCCATCACAGCACTAACCAGGTCCTGCCCTGCACAGCTTCAGATGTCTGACGAGCATTTCAAGTATGGCCACAATGAACTACCACTGTTCCATTTTTACTGCCGCTGTCGCCAAAATGTTTGCATCATGTCAAGTTGGAGAAAAATGTTTTGGGCGTAAATATGTGACTATATAATATGTGAATATGTGTAATATTTGGCCCAAAGACGAAGAAATGCAGCGAATGTGGCTGGACTTCTGCCTCAGAACTCAAAAAAGAATCTTTTTTATCTGTGAGTGACACAAGAAGTACGGTTGCCACACCAGTTTCAACATTTTCTATAAGCATAGTCTTATAAAAAAAACTGATATAATTAACTCTTTTCACCCTCTTCTCTTAGGACAAAATCATTGAGCGGCTAAAAGAGCAGCGGGAGAAGGAGGAGCGGGAGAAGGGGGATGAGATGGAGAGCAGTAAGAAGGAGCAGAAGGATCTGAAGGAGAAGGTGACCCAGTTGCAGATCGATTTAGCAGATCGAGAGGTACTGAGCTCATTTAAGACTAAACCAAAGACACACTTGTTTAGACTCTTTCACCCTTGGGCAGTGCCCTTATCTCTGCATGGATTGAGTTTACAAAGCACTACTGTGCGGAATCCTGGACCTCTTCCAATTCAATTTGATTGACGCCCCAATCGAGGTGTGAAAAGCACTCTGTTTGGAGGTGCTTGCATGAAACGCATAATTCTGATATTTATGAGACAATGGGCAGTGATGCATTTGAGAGCACAGGGAAAAGCTGAGCTGATATTTGATAATTCTACGTATTTGAATGGCTATAGACGAGTCATTCATTTTGTTTGGGATTATTGAGTAGTTCCTTGATGCTGGGCAAAGAACAAAGAAAAGACAGGAATCATGGTGCTTTTTTCAAGTGCTGCATAAATGTTGTGTGATTTACATTTTCAGACTGTATGCCTATTATTTTTGTATGTTAGCAATTTTGATTAGTTACATGGTTCAGAGTTGCCTCAGGTCCAGAGCCTGAAGCGACTTCTTCCAGGGGACTTTAAAAAAATAAAACAAAAAAAAAGTATTTTATTTATTTGACAGGGACAATACAAAAACAGTGTCACCCATAGGTAACCAATGTCAAGTACATAGGGCTTCTAGTCAAAGGCTAATTTGCAGCCCCTGTCCCTGGTTAGGCTTTTGGAGAACAAGTTTATAAAAAGAGGGGAGAAAAAAGCAACAACACAAATAATAACTGGCCCTATTTGTCCATACTCCATCCAGTTTTAGTGCTCACACTTCTGATTTTCCTTAAGCCACTTTTCAGTTTTGTGGAGAATAGTCTAATGTCCGACCGTGACTTCAGCTCCAATGGCAATGAGTTCCACAGGATACCAAAACTCGTCAGACCGTTTTAATAATCCAAGCAAATAGAGAGTGGTTTTTGAATGTTATAAACTTGAGATTGGACAGGGGGTGAAGTAAAGTAATTGGACTAGTACCAGCTTATTCTTATTCTTTGTTTCTAAAGTCTGTGTTTTTGAGTCTATATAGTCCTGTTCCCTGCAGCTCCACTCTATGGGGATTTTTCAAACAGAACCAACATTCTTCTATGTATTGCTAAATGTAGACATGTTTTTTGTGACAACAGTGATACTGTTTGCTCATGTCCAAGAATAACCAGAGTCTTGGTGTCCCAAGCTCTCCCAGTTAAACAGAATGGTCTTGTAGACGCTGGGACTGTCACTGAGGGGTGAAATTACATGTTGATCTGTCAAGTCTGTCCTAGTGCGTGTGTCTCTGCTCCAACCATAAGAAGAAACAACCCAAAAAGCAGCATTATAGAAAAGAGGCCAGAGTGGAGATGGGTCACTGAAAAGGCTACCTGCACCAGGGTGTGGTTTTGCACCGTCTCGGGCTCTCAGACAATGGCTACGTCTTAAAACACACACACCAGGATGAGAAGGTGTAATCACTTATCACTTTCAAAAATAAACATGTTCAACTACTAAGAATCCATATAAAGAAAACATTTAAGTTTTTTCAAAGACGAGATGAAACCATTAATTCCTAGTTTATTTAGCTTTGGATAATAAAACCTCCTTCTACAACGTTTGCCTCAAGATAGTATATTCTTGTATACATATACTGAAAGAGATTACAATAAACTATAGACAAGGCAAATTCATCTACAACATTTTTAAATTTTGTTTGTAACTTTCAAATCATAAAAAATAAATATCTACTTGGATCATGAAATCCAAGTAGATCCTGTCTCTCAAAATAATTTGGTTCAATCACTAGTTTTCAAATCTATTTTTGGCCCTTATCACTTTTTATATCACCTTTATCAGTTAAAAGAGAGGACTACTCTCGGAGCCAAACTAAAATGCTTTTCGGGCATGCGCTCCGTGCCGTCCATGACTCCCTCACAGCACTTCTCTTTTCCTGGATCAATCACAGTCCTTGCCATCCCCGAATGTAATCCGTCAAGTTTGTGATAGATTGGTCTTTTAAAATATACAGTATAATGTGTGCCCCGAGAGGGGGGAGTGGCTCTGAGTCAGCTCCCAGCATTAATGCAAACGCCCTCCAACGCTGTTGCAGTGGTTGATGAAGTCAGCATGGTGTGGTATGATTTGTTCACAACCTTTTACAAAACTCTTTCTGTTGGCACAAACACCATGATATTACATAAAAAAACCTTTATGAAACAAAACGTTAGACTCTAAAGTTAAGCTTTAATGCCACATTCCACTATTGACTGCCTCCAGCTCTATTATAGGGAAGAAATGACACAACGGGGACTAAGTCAGGACTATCAAACGTGAACCACAAGTGTGACTGGCAGGCTTGCCTTCATTAGCTGCTTTTGTCTTTTGCTGCGGTCTCCAGGGGTCTCTATTGGACCTGAAGGAGAAAGCATCCACCATGGCCTCTGCTGCGGTGAAGAGGGACAACCGCCTCAAGACTCTGGAGATCAGCTTGGAGCAGAAGAAGGAGGAGTGTGTCAAACTGGAGAACCAGCTCAAGAAGGTGACTGCAGTTTATTTCTGATCATAAGACAATTTAAAGAGCAGAAGCATAATTTATTGTCTCTTAAACATGTAAGTAAGTATTGTTTATTTATATAGCACATTTTACAGACCAAAGTCACCCAAAGAACTTCACAATGTTCATAGTTTAGGTATGTTGTGTAGGAAAGGCGCTCTTTGTGTAGGAAAGGCGCTCTACAAATAAACGTTGATTGATTGATTGATGTTTACTGAATGAGAAATTATTATTGAAAGAAGAAATTATATGCGTCATTTTAGGCCATTAGAAATTAGGACACTTTTTACTTAAAATATTTGGTGAAACCAGTATTGAGTGGAAATAATACAACCTGCCTGCAACACCCTATGTTGAATAATAAAAAAATCTGTCCTTGTGGTGCTGTCTGTGCGGCCTACAGGGGGCGCACAGACACCTGCTCTGTCTGAGTGTGTTGCTTAAAGCCACCCTGTGTAATTTTTACAGCTGCTCCATATTCAAAAACATGTTAGCTAATAATAAATGTGGCCTTATTAAGAATATTTACCTCCACCATGTTTTTAGAATTGTATTCATAGGCTTAGAATTTAACTTATCCATGAGAGAGGAGTACTCTCCGTGTAAATGTGCCATCTTGAAAAACGGTGGTGGATAAGGGACAAAAAGGATGCGAGAATCGCGTTTTTGTTCCACATGAGCTACTGATATCGTTGCTTTCACCGTGCCTTCACAAGTTGGAAGAAGGAACCATGGAGGACCACAGTTATGTAAAAGAACAATCCAAACAACAATCTTTTAGAAAAATAATTATGCAGAAGTTCAGCGTCATAGCAGCAAAGTGTCAACATCGCAAACCACACGCACCGAAAGACAGCGTTAACACAACAGGAGGCACATCGTGTAGTTTGTACACAACAGACTCACACGTGAACAATACGTAACTTTTTTCACACTGACAATAATGAGAACGAGGCAGAATCTGCAACACAGTCTCAGAATGTTCTGACCCGATCCGAGCGCAGTCCAACTACTGTCACAAGTTTACACTAAACTTATTCAGGGAAAAAGCCTCAAATAAATCACACACAGAATCCCCACAAAACAATCGCCAGAATACTTCATCAGCAGCCTGAGTGAATGTTCTGTTTTTCTTAAAGTGATGCAGATAGGGCGCTGTGGCTAACGCTAAAGCTAACATGAGCTTTTAGCCATGGCCTCCGCGGCTCTGTATATCTCCTGCTTCTTTGATCATCGTAGTTTTAACCTCCCACAGACGTTATTCCTCCATGTGTCTCTTCTCTTCACACTGCATTTGTAAAACTATATATTATAATAGATCCATGGTAAAACTCAGTAGAGCCTCTGTGCAGGCTGCCGTCTGAACGCAGTCTTGTTTACATGTCGGCTCCACGCGACTGTCAAGTGCCTGAGACGTTTTGAGAGATCCGGTCATTTATCAAACTAAAGTATTCCTTCCTTGGCAGTCTGGTGAATGACTGAGATCAAAGGCTTCCGTACTTTAATAGACTGCAATATAAAATCTCAACGCTAGATGGCACTAAATATTACACAGTGTACCTTTAAAGACCTTATGACGGGTTTTTAAAAAAAAAAGTGGATATCAAAATTGCATGACAATGTCAATTTGAAAGAGATTCCGGCAAAAAAAAGCCTATATTTTATAAAAAGAACGTGTTTTTCATGAATTTAAGTTGTCTATGCTCTAACCTGTGTGTGACGTCATAGCGGGTTACGCCCATGCATAGAAAACCATGGATCTATGCCACAGGACTGCCTTTTCTCTCTTCTCTCCACTGATGCCCAACACAATACTGCACTCTACAGGTGACAATTGCTCACTACACATAAATTGCCGTTTTTAGTGTGAAAAAGTGTCTGAGGTGGGATTTAAACCCAAGTATCTGGATTGGTAGTCTATCGACACAACCACTGGACTATCTCAGTGACAACAAAATGATACATTCTAGTAGTTATCTTAGACTCGCTGTACACGGCCTTGTCATCTTGAATATCCGCAAAAAAAGAACGAATACCAAATTGTAAACAACTTACAGCATTGAAACGTACCTGTTCTGACGTCACCAAGGGCTGTGAAGTTTTTTTGTTTCTAAGGGCGTTGCTATGGGGTTATTTCGATTTGGGAGGATCAGACAAAAAAAACAACTGATTTTGAAACCTTTAGTAGTTCTCTTCTAATATAAAATGGTATTAAAACTGTATTTCAAAATAAATCAAACCCGTCATAAGGTCTTTAAACATCTGCCCTCTCTGAGTGTCATGTCATTGTTACAAATATATTGTGTGCACTGCGTAGAAAAACCCACTTCCTAACAGCCATGCTCCAAGTAATGACCTGATATCAAACTATGTTGATTATAATGGGGGCAGCAGAAGAAACTTTCTTATGGCAGGAGGTTCTGGACCTGGGCCTCCTGCTTGAGGGAGGGGAGGGTCTTAACATATTATTATTATTATTATTATTATTATGTCATGGTGTAAATGTGTTCAGGCTCAGAATGCGTCAGCGGAGTCCCGGGCCTCCTCTGAACTTAGTGAGCGCATCTCCAGCCTGGAGCAGGACGTGTCCCGGCACAGAGATGAGGCCACTAAAGCCCACGCAGAAGTGGAGAGGCTGCTGGACATCCTCCGTGAGATGGAGGATGAGAAGAACGACAAGGAGAAGAAGATCCATGAGCTTGAGAGGTGAGGCACGCACACGCTCAGCATCTTTTTTCATTCATTTCATTCTTTTTTTCATTCGTTCACTCACTCAAATCCATAGAAAAGACTGATTTATTTCACACCAATGAGTAGTTTTGTGCTCCTAAGTTAATACAATACAATACAATTGTATTTTTACAATACAATAATAATATAATACAATGGAGGAATCTAGGATTTATTAACAGTTTTCACGAAATAAAAAGGTATTTAGTATCATTCCAAACAGTGATTTTGGACTCCTAATCTTGTGGTAGTTTGTCTGAATTAGGCTTGTGCAATGTTGGAAAAAGAATGTTGGGAAAAAAAATATGCTAAATTACACAGTGAACTCAGATCCAATTGTTTCAATCTGCAAAAGGAGTTAACCCCTCCCACCTGTTAACAGAGCTCAATGGAGCAAAAACAGACTTTTTTACGAAATGAAATGAGTACGATGGTGTGGGTAAGAACAGGCTAGGCAATTGCTCTAATCATAACATTTCTAATAAAAAAATTGGCTTTTGACACCGTTTGTTAACACGATGCAGCATAGGAGTGAAGGGTGCTAGACCCTCTGTTTGGTGTCCAACATCACCCATCACCACAAGAACAATGACTTTGTATATGGATGTATGGAATGGAATGTTTCATAAGCGGACGTGTTAGTTAATGTTTTAACAAAGTGTTGCATAGAGTTCCTCCAATAGGCCGCTGACTTCTCTTTTATGATGACCCACTTGATATTAGTTACTTGACGTTTGTTTCATTTCACAGCCTTAATATCAAATATTTGTCAATAGACTGAACTACTGTATAGATTGACTCCATAACATATGCATATTAAATAGTGATATAGTACTATCACACTTAGTTTATCCAATCACATACCATTCTATGTTCTATCCTTTTCTAATGACTTTATCATTGCAAACCATTTGATCTCGTATTCCATTCAAATCAATTTTTACATCTCCACACATTTGAATACATCTGTGTACATTCTTACATTCTTTTTGAAACTTTCACCATTAAAAGAATGCCGCAACGCCAAAGCGATCAAACCCCGCCCTCTCAGCCGCCAATGGGGGGGCTGGTGTGGGACTACCTGGGCACGTGAGTGGCTGGTGGACGTTTGTTTATAACCCACTAATTCTCGATCACACCCAGCTGATATCTGCCTGAGAGATGTAAGAGGGGTGTTAGGAGCTCCCTTGTGAAAAAGCAGGTGTGGGGTTTTAATTTGGCAAAAATACGTTATTATTGTCAATGATACTTAAAGGCACACCGTGTAACTCTTGGCCACTAGGGGCGCTAGACCTGCAACTTTCACGTTTAGCGCCCCTAGTGGCCACAAGCAACTCAGCACTGTCGCAAAAGTCAACAAACAGTCAGCCGGTGTCTTTTGAGTGTGTATTCAGACAGCATGCACTGGTGTGTGTGTTCAAACTGTAGAGACATGCCTACAGATATTGAGAGACTCTGCTGTGGTCAGCCTCCAGACCGCTGCATTAGTAATCTACCACACATGGACTTCTATATCCTGGATGAGGGAGTTCTGCGTCTAGCTCGTGCTGCGTGGAATGACATCTTTGCGGTCGATGACATCCAGGAACCAGGTGAAGAGCAGCGCTCATACAGACATGCAGCTTACAGCACGATCCCTTTCGCGTTTCCTCTTTTTAGCCTCCTCCGAAGGTTTAAAATTTTTCCTTGCCTCAGCCATGACCAGGAGTCGAGCAGGTGAAAAATGAGTAGCAAAAGCCTTAGCTCCATGAGTATATCAGCGCCTGTAGCCGTAAAGCAAGTCTTTCTTCCAAGTCACGTGACCTGGTGGCAGACGGTCCGTCTGCTCGAAACTTACATGGGCGGTATTTCAAGAGGGCAGCCCCGCTCGGAGCATTGCAAGTGTCAAGCGCTGTATATTGGCCCAAGTATTCATATAAAATAACTCATGTGTCAACTCTTTAGGTCACAAAGTCCGCGGTGTGCCTTTAAGACACTGTCATCATTACTCTACCCTGCCAGACTTTTCCACATGGGACAGAGCTGAGAATGTTCACTACTAAAACACTAGGGCGGCGCAATAAAGCACAAACCACCTTTATATAATCATTGCAATAGTATTATCCGGTTTCTCTATTATATATTTTGAATTATGGATGCACCAATACCGATACTGGTATCGAATAAGCCAATATCGGGTTGATACCGGAGGCCCCAATGTCGGCAACCAATACCCACAATATTAATTTACATTAGCGTCACGACAACACAATGCAGTACTCTTGTCGGTATTCTGTGTCGGCAAGCACTCATTAAGGCTGGTGCTCGTATTGCCTTTGAAAAAAGTGGTATCGGGGCATCCCTAATTTTGAACATTTAGGATCACTGTATTGATATAAAATGACGAAATTAATGTCACATTACAGAACAGTAGAAAAAGATGATGGCTGTAATATTCATAGAATAACGCAAATTCCATACTAAAGCTGGGGTACCTACATTTCTTTTTCATAAATACTGCATAAAGGTTAGTCGCAACAGTAAAAGTGAAGCGTTGCAGAATGTCAAATCAGACCACAACATGTCATCTTCATCTTAATACCCCAAAAATACAGGTAACTGTTTGAGAGCTAGAGTAACTAGGGATATTATTACCTAATTAAATTAAATTGATGGTTCCAGCTTGAAGAGCTTTGCTAAAGTATGTAATTACAATCTAGTGTTATGAATACACATTGTGCACCATCATAACTGGTGCATGACACTTATAGAAATAATTATTCTTAGCGTTTCTTACAATTCTATCAAGTCTTTCACCTCATAATCACAATAATTGCATTTAATAATTCAGAGAAAAATCTGAATTATTGCGCAAATAATACTAGAAGCTCCTCTCTCGGGCCTGTACTAGTATGATGTCATTGTACCGGAGCAGTTTTCTGCCCTTCTGCCTAACAAGTTGAATTAGTTCTTTCACAAATTTGGTTATCATTCTAAACCTAAAAAGAAATGCAATCTCCCTTTTTAAGGAGCATAGTGAGTGACAGACCAATAGAATTTTTTACCTTTGATGCTTTTGTCACCACTTATTTTCTACTAAAGATATTATATTTCATTAGAATTAAGTTTGTGTAAACTCTCAGTCGTACAGGGACTATTCAAAACAAGGAAAGGTTGCTTACCCATCTGTAATTCAGTTAGCAGGTATCCCAACATTTTGTTCTTAATCCAAAGAACTTTCTCGGGGGAATGAAAACAAGTGTAATGGGGAAAACTGAAGCTGGTTTCAGAAATGAGTCATTACCAATATAGATAGAAACGTTTAGTTCTAATAAGTTCAAAGTTTTTACCTTTTTTTACTCTTATAATTATTGGATTAGACATTTAAATTTAGTGAATAGTGTGCCACTTGTTTGTTGCTCTAAACCAAAATTGTATGAATAAACATAACTTTTCATTAAAAAAACATATGAATATAGAATGGTCCTGCAACAACTGCAGTTGTACATGAAAATTAACAGACAGAAATGTAATACCTCCAGTTCCTGTACACACCTCACATGAATTTGTACGTTTAAGATCTCTCCAAATCCTCCTCAATGATGTTCAATATAGAAATAGAAAACAGGTTTGTTAGACTATAAATGGCTCTGCACAAACAACCGCTGTGGATGAGTGGGAGAAAAACTGTTTGCGTTGTCATGAAGGATATGTGCAATAACTGTGACATTTCTGCCAGGGGTGTATACTTTCAAGCACAACTGTTTGTAATATTACCCCCACATTCTCGTGTTTTGCGCCGCCCTGACTCAAGCACACGGTGATGGGTTGCAGCATGTGGAGCTCGAACAGGAGCTGTGTCCGTTTGCAGCGTGGGCCGTTTTGTGACAGGCAAACAGCTTTTAACATTTGGAGAAATGGGTCACGCTCCCGCTCGGCATTCGCCCACAGTCTTTGAACTCCTGTTTCTATCAATGATGCAACTCTTTCATCCGTTTAAGCGCTCGCACTCTGACTTTCAGCCTGACACTGACTTCTACACTGTGTTTTTCACCACAATAACTGCACTCACAGCCCAGTATCTTTCTCTAACCTCCCATGTGTTCACAATTAAACATTCATGTCAGCTGTCTTGTGTGCTTGTCTCGCCCGCATGTCGTCTGGTTTGCTGTAATGTCGACAATTTTCTGGCAACATTTACAAGTAATCTAATGTAACTTTCTTAGTAAAGCAAAGAAGGAATGAAGGGAATGTGTTTATGTAGCACACTTTATACATGCACTGCAGCTCGATGTGCTATATAAACAACTTTTCATGTACTTTGGTTAGCCATGCTTCTGAATGTGTTCATTGTGATTAGCTATGCATCTATGTCCATTATTTCATTGTGGTTAGCATGCTTCTAAATGTATTATTATTGGTTTATACATTCATAGTGATTAGCCCTGCTTCAAAGCCCATTATTTTATTGTGGTTAGCCATGCTTCTAAATGTATTCATATTGGTTAGCCTTGCTTCTAAGTCCATTATTCCATTGTGGCTAGCCATGCTTCTATGTTCATTCATGCATTGTGGTTACCAATGTTTCTAAGTGCATCCTGTGATTTGGTTAGCCATGCTTCTAAGATTACAGGTTTGTCTGTATCACTTTGACAAAATCAATGACTTTAATTCCTGTATCTATACTTGTATTTAAGCAGCTAAAAAATCCTACCCTCTGAATCTGCCGGAGCATGTCTGATGTCATCAAGCAGAGAGTTCCATTTACAAGAAGCATCATGGGAGACCTCTGCTTCTCCTACTTTCCATTTTACACAACAAACGGCAAGAAGGTTAAGGTCTGATGGTCCGAGTTGGAAATCAGAATTATTTTAGGGCGCCAGAGCGCTGCAGGATCACTCCAGACCTGAACAACATGCTGCTGCTCTTGGTCCAGGCCCATACAGTATATAAAGGCTGTCCTCTCCTTGGTCCTCAGCTAATGTTGTTTTATGAAT